CAGTATTTCTGACTCTTAGGCACTATGATCTGGAAAATGTCACAATATTCTCTCAGCTACAGGCTGTGATATATATTAAATCCTATTTCCTAGTTCAAGGAGTATTCCAGAACATCTGCAATGGACCTTGTGTGTTCCCCCTTCACTTCTGACACCAGTGCAATTGATGATATATTTTCCTTTTCAACTACCCTGTCTCAGCCACTGTTACCTGGTTAACATACAAATTTTCTTCCTTACGATACAGTATTAGCAAAAGGGGTTTGGGAAGAAAAACATCATCACAAAATCCATGTGAGTTAGCAGATGAACAGTAATACAGAAACCATACATAAAGGCAAGCTTCCAGTTCTCCTTCTGGCTTACTCAGTATCACCTAGGTCGGGAGAATCCTAAACACAACCTGGCTGGAGGATGGCAGGACATTAGAAAGAAGCATACATCCCATCCCTTTATGTTTTTTCCTAAATGCTCATTCTTTTTGATTGTCAAGGACAGGATACTGGGCTAGATGAAGCATTGATCTATTACAACTGTTCTTATAGTACCTTTAAAAAAGTACATAAAAAATATGAAATTACACCAAAAAAGGAATTATTTCTTTTAATATATAAAATAGAAACAGAAAATTAACCTAAAACTGTTGGGTTTTGATATGCAGTTGAACATTCTAAATATTACTTTTGTCACAATGTTCAAAGTCCAACTCTTCTGAATCAGTAACTACACAAATTGAACACCAATTAAACCAATTTCTGAATACAGAATTCATAAATTCACATTATCTGCAAGAATAACATGTCTAAATTATTTACCTCCTTCTGATCAAGCTGCAGAGAAGATTTTATCAAATCACGAAGCGCAGTAAGTTGTTTCTTTTCTTCGTCTTGTGTCTGCTTTATCTATGGAAAGAAATCACCATCATATGCTTTCTGGATGCAACTTTAGTCTTTTTTCTTTAATGCATTCCAATACACCATTTTAGATGTCCTGAACAACCAGCTCAACTATTCCGTGTTTCTATAATATTTGCATTTATTTTCAGATTAGTCCACTCAATGTATTCACTTTCTATGCAAGTATTACTTGAAAAAAGCAAGCTAAAATGAATGTACAACTCCTCATGCTCTGTTCTGTTATGCTTTAATGGTTCACTATATATAACGCAACTAAATTAGCCTCTGAAATATTAAATAACTCCAATAAGCTCGACAGATGACTTAAGGAATGAAAATACAGTTTAAGTTAGCCACAAACTACAATTGCAAATGGGATTATTGCAATTCTGATTATAGAATACAAAAGCACTTGGGTGACAAGTGGGCATTAATTCCACTTTATTACTTGCCTTCAATGAACATCACAAGTTAATCCATTTCAAAACTGTGGTGCTATCAAGCAGTTTGGTTTTGAAAAATGAAAGTGGTAGCTAAAATTGGTGCTAAGAATGTAATCTGATTCAAAGATTCTCACTTTAAATTAGTTTTATTTTAATGTAACATTAAATTAGTAGCAGAATGAAAGCTACTTTTCCTAATAACTGTAAAAACAGATTATAAAGTTTAAGATAGTTAAGAGGTTTTTTCCTCAGTCTAGCTATATTCAAAGTCTCAAAGAACACACTTTTCATTTATAAGATACAAATGAAATATATACCCTTGTAGTTATATCTAAAATGTATTCATATGAACAAAATGTTTCCATTGTCAGACATTAAACTACTTATAAGTAAACTTACATTATATAAGTCAGCAGCCAACTTTTCAATATATTGTTTAAGTTTATCAGCTGTTTTCAAGCCATCTTGGAAGAAACTATAATGAAAAATACCTGTGATTTATCAGGAATACATATAATTCATAACACAAAGTAGATTGTCTTGTGGAGAACACCAAAACCAATAAAACATATCTAGCTCCTCAGATATTCAGAAATAAAAAAAGCACTCTTCCTAGTAGTTTTAAAGTATGGTATCTTTCAGCTGTGGAGATATACCATTGTGACTTTAACAAATACCAAATTAGAGAGAATATAGTTTAGCTTATTTTTATCACTGTTAGTCAACATGTTACCCCTTAGTAATTTCTAAAAACCTTTTTCCTGTTTTTAACTTTAGTAAAAGTATCTGTATGGTTGCCTCTGTGGTTCTACTGATGACAAGGTCATAACTTACTAGTTTCACCTCAAGGAATTTCAAAGAAATTACTGGCTTTCACAATGGTTTTAAAATTACATGAACCCCTAAAAACTACTAAATAGAATAAACAAACTATTTCCAAACTTACATTCTAAGTCTATGCCTCAGGAACTAAAATTCATTTTGTACGCAACATGCAAGGTTTTCCCTTGCCCTCTTTCTCCATCATTCCCCTGCCCCAGTCACTCACTTTCATACTCTCTCCTGAAAGACTACAGCCTAATAAGATGAAATTGCAGACACCTGGCAGATTACAATTATGATAAAAATTCCTGATGTAACCAAAACATATTCAAAACAAAGAGAAAACAAAGACTTATGTAAAAAAGAAAATTGTAACTAAAACTTAAAAGCATTGCACTTACTTGCATTGTGCATGATAATACTTAATAAGGTTCTGCAGAAGGTCCACACCTTTTTTTGTCTTGATTTCATTCACCTTAATAAGATACTGTACAGACGGTGAAAAACATGTTGATAATCATGCCTCACAACCTTCAATGGTTTTCAATCAATAAAACATCATTTGCTCAATGAATTAATTATCTCTGTGTTTAACCTGCTTGCTGCCACCAGTCCATCACAGTTAAGCAAAATATAAAACAATTAACAATTTATTTGGCCATTTCCTAAAAAAATTCAAACACCTCAAAAGATAAAAAAAAATTCAGGAAAAATTTTAATTTTTTACAACTGTCTGAAGATGTCTCTTTTTTAATGCTACTATAGTAATCACTGAAATATTCTAAAAATATAAATACTATGCAATTTAAAGTAATTGCCACTAAAATGTAGTAAAGAGAAGTATTAATGTAAAAGCAGTTTTATGGAACTAACGTATCACTATCATTTATCATTTTATTAGAAATTTTAGAAGGCTTCAGAAAGCTTGTTGGAAGAGAAATATCAAAAATGCTTCGTGAACTGCTCAACCATAAACCTGAAAAAATAAAAAATATTTCCATAGTATATTTTCAGCCCAAGAACCTTAGCATAATAATCTAAAAACAAAGAAAAGGAATAAACCAAAAAGAAGCCAAGTTTTGTACAGAGTTGCTAAAATAATTATCTTTATATTGCTGCACTATGTGACATTTCCTCCCTCCACCCCCATTAAACAACAAAGTAGATTTCACCACCTTTAAGTAAAGCCCACAAGGTACTTTTAAGTTATGGTGTCATAATTAAAAGCTGAGACTTGTTTCTTACTTCACACATCTGTAGCTGAAATAGCCGCCTTTCCTTCTCCATTTCCTCTGCTATCTCAGCTCCTGTTATTTCAGTTCTTATCATCCCATGCTGTTTTGCATGTTCTCTTTTTTCCTTTTCAATTTTTGTACTGAAATTTTAATTAGAAAACATTTTAGAGAATTTCTTCTACTACTGCGTGATCTAGCATTATTTAGGCAAAAAATAATAATCAAGATACATTAAAGAAGCTATTCTGAGTTCCTCTATGATACCAAATCCGACATTCATTTTTTTTTTTTCCAAGTGTCCAGAAGTAATGGAGTCATGAAGCTGCCCTTCCTTCCTTTCATCTTTTAACTCTTTTCTGTAGTTTGTGTGCTACTTGGGGGAAAAAAACAAAACCACACAAAAAAAAAATCTCATTCCTTCTATATGATGTGCTCCATAGCCTTCATCTCTACATATTGCAGTATGAAGCATACATACAAGAAACTACTGACTTGGCAGGAAAATGGCAGAATAACATAATCAAATATGTTTCATGCTCATAAGGCAGGAATTAAGAAAAACAATAAGGCAGTATATGAAGTTTACCACTTACACTAAGTGACATGACCTCCAGTCACTACATTTTCAGACAAAGCCAACACTGAAATTCTGAAATAGTGAAATGCAAATATGGAACTAAGAGGCCATCCTGAGACTTTAATTAGAGCTTTACAGTGTGGCTATCCTCTCATATCTATTCTGCAGACTACTGGATACTCCATTTGTAAGCATACTTAGATTTCCAATACAGAGTAGAAAAATCTAAAGTATTTTCTGATTTCTTTTTTTAAAAAAAACCAACCAAACAAAAAACCCTTTCTTCTCCAGCAGCCTTTTTGAGAAAAATAAACACTGAAGCTGAAGTTCTGTAAAACAGGTGACAAAGCACTGTGTGTTTATTAGACTGTTACTCCTTGCCAGGGAAAAAAAAATTAAAAAGGATTAATTTATTTGGTCTTGATCTCTGCTTTTCTCCAACTAAGAAAGGCAAAATGTTTACACTAAGTACACTGTGCCTCTAAACTTGACTTCATATTCGGTCTTGAACAAATTTGGGGAAATGGAAGTCTCAGAAATTTAAGGAACATCTCCTTCTTGGTCTTAATAAGCCCAAGTGAAATTTGCTTATGGGGGGTGGGCAGGAAAGTAATAAGACAACAGGCATCCTTCTGTTAACTTTCCAAGTTCAGAACAGAATCCCACCAATGATTCCATGTATTGAGTCTGTATGAGATACCTCTGTCTCATAAGCTCTGTTTAATGGCATTTGGTATAAATAGGCTGGCAAAAATATCCCTGATGTTACAAATCGCAATTTGAGAGGCAGAAATATATATTTTTAAAACAGTTTGCTGCCTACAGAAAACTATTCAATATTTTTGCAAAATATGCAACATCTGTAAGAACAAAATAACTAAAAAGGAACAAAAAAAAAAATTCTGCATGTAAATCTGAATGCTCAACTGAGTACGATGATGCAATTTTGGGACAGGAACCTCTTTTTTGCCTTAGATTAGTAATAAACTCATTTTCAGTTCAGTTATTCACAAGGATTTATCATCGTAATGAATTTTGAAGGAAAAAGTTATTATATGTAGGGAAGAAAATTATGCCAATAATCAATGTTTCAGCAGTTCTTAGTGGCCTGACTTTTTCTTTCATTGCTTTTTTCCCCTCCTGGTTAGACATAAATGAAGCAAAGCTAATAATAGGATTAGAAAGGGCAATAAATGAAAGGATACAAAATATGACTTAACTCCTGAGAGCTCTTGAATTCTGATAAAGCAACTACCCATCATTTCCTTGACAATATTCTGAACCATTCCACTAACAGTTCTGCAACTATCATACTACTTGTTTCCAACCTTCTATTTTTTTATAAATCATTCTTTACCCACAGAAGATATGTATTATAGCAAGAAATTATTTTTAAAACCACAGATATTTTAGAAGTCACACCAACTGCACTAAAATTTTTGCCTCTCAAAAAACATACAGTTCTGCAATACAGGACAACACATAAATCTCATAAAATTTACTATTGATAGGTTTTATGTATACGGTTATAAGAATGTATAAATGCCATCTGAAATCTCTACAATTCATTTTACATGTTCAGTATCTAACCATTAAGTATCTTCTTTACATTAAAGAAACACTGGGCAGTCATTTAATTACTTCACAGAGCACATAAAAATGTTTTCTTCCTATTAGTGCAGAAGAGAGATCTATAGAAGAGATGCCTTGCTTATATTCACATTTACATCCACAGATACAGTACATAGTTTGGGACCAGAAGGAGAAAGAAAACAAACAAACAACAAACCACAAAACCAACAACTACAAAAACAAGAAGGAGAAAAATACTTACAATTTTGTTTCATAATCCTTCCAGGCTTTGTCAAAAGGCTTTTTGAGGTCCTTAGGAAACAGAAAATTTGCTTAGAACATTTTAAAAACTTTGTCTTTACAGTTCAGGTATCAAGTTTTAAATAGCAACAAAAAATAGTTTTCTTTTAAAACTTTTCAGACAGCAGTTGAAAAAAAGACTATTTTTGAATCTTGTAAAGTATCGCTTCTTTCCTGTGTACATTAAGACAGGAGTTTACAATGACATTCTAAAGGAGCATCACAGTCATGCCAATTTTGAATTTATACTTTGGACTACATACAAAATACTAATGGATGCCAACGTAAGAAATAATCTCATGGGTGAATGGAAAACAGTCACAAGACTTCTGAACCTGAAAACATTTCCCTAAATAAAAAGTTAGTTTTCAAAACTTACCCCTTTAACACCTTTTAAGTCTCCTTTTAAGAGAGAATCCAAAGTGAAAATAACATTGTGGCTTAAACCCTGGAGCTAAAAAGAAAAACATAATATTGTTATCATTCAGAAAGATTTATTATGATCTTATCAAACTACTGCCAAGAAGTCTTTGAACTTCACTAATGAAGTTGCAATCACCTAAAAATTTCTAAATTAATAGCAAATTCAAGTCTGAGAAGAATTAATAAACATTCACTTGCATCAGACACAGATGCATTATAATTAATCTTCACTTACATAGGGTGATATAGAACCAGAACTTTAAAAACAGCATATAAGCAAAGTTCTGAAAGCACCTCAAGGTAAACTTCAGTCTCTCAAAGCAAACATTTGAATATTGCTTAATTATTTAGGAAGCAAATTAGGTTTTGGAACAAATGTTTCTTATAGCCTCCTGAGTAAGAAGCAAGGACCTGCTGTGCTACAGGCAGATAACACAAGGCACACGTTAATTCATCCATGAACAAAAGGAGCAAAGTCACCAGCTCTTTGATTATTCCCAACTATTTGGGAAGGCTGTTCCTTTCCTTGTCCACTGTGGAAATCTGGCATCTCCTTAAAATCTCAAGAGTTTAAATTTCACCCCATTAAGTCCATGCCTGTTTGGTTATATATCTGTGGAAATGTTCCATTTGTCTTTGCCAGTTTTAGGGTGGAAAAACCTAGTGCTGTGATCTTATCTGAACACACATGCTGTGTACAGTTCCTGAAGAGTCATGATCACAGGAAAAAGATGTGTATCAATATTATCCCAGTTTAGTGAGTAGTCTGTTGCCTCTCCTACTTCATCCCTCCCTTCATTTCACCCCCCAAAATACTCCATGAATTCTTCGGTTCCGTGCTAAGGAAGGATAGGGAGAATGATAGGAAGGCTGCAAGACACCACATCCTCTGCTTGTAAACCAAAGGACGAAGGAAGTGTTACATTAGTGTTTTTAATCTGCCATATACATATGGCCCAGCTCCCCTTTCCTACAAGGTCTTCTGAGAATATTTTAGTCCATGAAACTGATTTTTAAGTGACTTTTGTAAAACAGATAATCCACACAGACAAGAATATCAAACATCACTCAAACAGGTTTTCCAGGTATAATGTACCACTCACAAACTCCTCATATATTCAAAAGACATGTATGAAAAATTAAATATTCAATTTTTCAAAAGTGACTATGGAAATTTAAATACATGCACATAAAAGAAAAAAAATTCAAAGAAAGCTCTCTTGTATCATGGTTTACTTCTTTCATAGGCATAAAATAACGTTGTGATGAAACAAGGCATGACATGTGTGCATTCACTGCTGTTTCATGAGTCAGGGCTTCTTACGAATTTACAAGCAACTTCTTGTATCATGTCAATATTTACAAGAACTACATCCACTTTATATAAAATAGCATATTTTCCTTCACTAGGTTCACTATCAGTCCTTAACTGAAAAGAGAGAGAAAAAAAAAACAAAACAAAAAACCACAAAAAAACAACAGACTTGCTTCGTTCAACAAATACTGTTGGGAGAAAGGATTTCTGTAAGATCCGTTAGGGATTACTGCGAAACCCAGCCACAAGAGCTCAAGCACAGTTCAGACGCCCACTGTTCTAATGAAGCAGTCCTACAAAGCTCAGATCTCAAACTTGATGTGCATTATCCTCTGGAAAGCATGGGGGTCTCAGCATGGCAGAGGGGAAGGTGGACCTTTTGAACACAGGTTATTATACAGCTACTTAATTATCACCTGATAGCTTGTCAGTCACCCCTCAAGTTTTGTTCTTTTTAGATAGCTTCCAGATATCATGACTGATGAGGAATGGAGCACCTCTCCTATGAGGACAGGCTGAGAGAGTTGGGGTTGTTCAGCCTGAAGAAGAGAAGGCTCTGGCGAGTACCTAAAAGTGGGCTTGTAAGAAACATGAGGTCAGACTATTTAGCAGGGCCTGTTGCAAAAGGACAAGGGATAATGGTTTTAAAGTAAAAGAGGGTAGATTCAGACTAGGTATAAGGAAGACATTTTTAACAATGAGGATGGTGAAACATTGGAACAGGTTGCCCAGAGAGGTGGTAGATGCCCCATCCCTGTAAACATTCAAGGTCAGGTTGGACGGGGCTCTGAGCAACCTGATAGAGTTCAAGATGTCCCTGTTCATTGCAGAGGGCTTGGACTAGACGACCTTTAAAGGTCCCTTCCAACCCAAACCATTCTATGATTCTGTGACTATTCTTAGTATGAGATGGATTCAAATTCAGAAAACATGGCACACTTGTATCTTTACATTCAAGGCATCTTGACAACTGTTCTATGGGCTAATATTTTGTATTTTTTAAATTCACAAAATCTTACATTCAGAATGCATTCAAAGCAAGATAAAGGACAGCCACTAGAACATCTTGTGCTGCAGCCTCAAACAATAACATGAACACAGAGCAAAGGTTCTTCACTGCTTAAAAGATCAAGATCTGAGAACGGATTTTCTCCTTAACTGCAACAACAAAATTAATGCTCAAATATTGATTTTGTACAAAGCAAAAAAGCAACCTGATCACTTTTAGTGATTAAAACCCCAAAAGATTTTTTTCTTTACCTGGCTTCACTAAAGGAGTTGATAGCAGATAGTCTAAGCTTTGATTCTTTTTAAAGAGCTAGGTTCTGTTCTTCTTTCTGCTTAGCTTAAACATTTGCACATGACCCCCACACAATATTATTTCATAACAAAAATAAAAGGAGCCAGGGAATTTGTAGAAGATGCCTTTTTGCAATTTATCCTCTGTTGGCTTTTTATCTCAGTACATCACAACTAACAACTCCTTAGAAACGTCAATTTTGTTGGAGAAGGAAAAGAATCACGAATATTAAGCCAACAAGCGATTAAGGTAATACCTACTTCGTCACTACACAGATTAAAGAAAAGGTATTATTGTTTTCATTCTCAACCATTTCAATCAGTTTCCACTTAACAACCTAAATTGAAGTTCATATCTCAAATGTGAATTTTGAGAAAGAATATTCAAGAGATTTTTATCCCAGCCTAGCTCATAAAAACAGAGAGAACACAAATTTCTGCAATATGGGTGGATATGACAGACTTAAAGTACTTATCAGGGCAGGCATGAACAACAGTACATTACTATAGCTTTTTTTGTTTTTCCAAGTGTATTCATTAAGCATAACCAATTTAAGCCATTAACACTTGGCTTGAAATTACTGAACAGTAGCCAGCCTGTATGTCAGCTAGGAAAAAACCCAAACAACTAAATACCAGTGTCTTATTCCGATATGGTAAGATTTTGGAATAATTTATTATATTGTTGAAGATGTGACAAAACAGTAGCCCAAATAAATTGGAAACATATTTGATAAAGTAAAACAGTGTCATACCTAGAGTAAAATAAAGGAAAAATCCCCACAAACTTAACTGATGGAAACACATATGATAGTTTGGGGAGGAGGGATGTGAACAGAAGATAATTTGCCTGCAAAGATTAGCTGAGGAAAGGGAAGGGGGGAAAAAACAGGCTTTAAACATTTGGAAAAAGCCAAGCACCGTGCAAAATTAAAAAAAAAAAAAAAAAAAAAAAGTAATTTGCAAGTGCTTCAAATGTTCTTCCAAATCCTCATCTAGATCAATTTAAAGACATTGACACACTCAGTTTCACATAGTGGATCTTCACACAGCTTTTTAATGCAGTATTACAATGAACTACTGCATAAAGAATGAAACCTGGAACAGGAAAGGAGGTAGAAGTAGTAAAAAGCAGAGAAACCAATTCTGGTGGGACACTCCGAAATTGCTGAAAATGTAGACCAGTGTTGACAACGGCCAATCACAATGTAACTACCTTTACAAAATGTTACAGAAGTGGTCATTGTGTGTCATCCTTATAAGATAATCTTAACAACAACAAAAACCTCAGAAATATAACATGATATTTATAGGTTTTAAGTTTCTGATGTTATATTTAGTGGTAATATCAACAGTTTACAGTAAAATTTGCATAGTGACTTATTTGGTTTTGTTAAAATGATTAACGAATATGCTTTTATTCTTGACCTTGTGTGCAGAGCAATCATTTCAAAATGATGGTTTCCAGAAGTTGTGTATGTGACACTCTATAATTCTTTCACACAGAAGAAAATAAATTATTCTGTATCCTCCTTCTCATGAAATATGCATAATATCACAATTGATAGGAAAATATTTTATGAATCATAATTAAAACTCAAGATTTAATAAAAATGGATCAAAATTTTTGAAGTAGATTTTTGTTGCCTACTGTGTAAGTCTATTCCTTATTCCTCTTCCTGTCTTTAAAGATCATTTATTATTTTATTGTACTTTTATTTAATAAGGCAATCTGCTCTACGTAAAAAAAAGCCTATTAGCTTGCCATTCATCTTAATACTTACTGCCATTTTTTTCAATTCATTTTATTCACATAAGCCTCAGCACCTACTGTGGGGTTTTATCAGTGACATTATACAGTCTTCCCCTCAACTGCTTTTTCACTGTACCTCAACTTCTATTTCAATATTACAAAAATCTTTTCCTTTCAGTGTAATTGTATTAATTAGAATGATGCTTAAGAATAGCAGTGGGTCAAAGCAGAATTATCTATCTTGGAGAGAAGAAAGGTGGAAAAATAAGTGTTTTTAAAAAAAATACTGAGACATTCGTAAAATAAGTTTGTCTATTTGAGATTGCTGAATGAAGTAAATTAAGGAATAGTCTATTTTAAATCCCGTCAACAAGAATTTAGATAGATAATGCTCATAGTCTAGCCGAAATACAATTATGTTGTTTTGAATGAGTGTGGTTTCTTAAGTTAAAAGAGCTTTTTCCTCTCGAACAGTACTCCTTTAAATAAATAAATAATCCCCCACTTCTTGTTTACCAGTTGAAAGAAGTTAAAATTTCTGTTGAAGACCTGCAAGGAACGATGAGGTCCAGAGAGTTTCCAACAAACTTGAGTTCTAGTCCCAAAATGTCCTCAAACTGCACTTTAACACATATTTTAAAATACTTATTTTTAATTTTGTGCTAAATTAAGATTAAAGGAGGTCAAAATAAACCAGAATGACAGAAGTCTTTAAATAGGAAAGCAGATCCCTCACATATCTACTGGCCTTTAAAACTGTCAACATTGAAACAAAGAATGATCCAGGTAACAGGTCAGAGCAAAGCTCTTAAAGAAAGCAAGCTTCATTAGGGTAAGTGTGATCATCCTTAGATGAGTAAGTAGGTGATGAAGAAGAGGCAAGACTCAGAAGGCAGAAATAAGCACAAGCCTGAGAGGTCAGAAGTGACACCTCATTTTGAGCGTTGTTAGGGCCTGTGCAGTTTGAGATGTTTATAAGTGAATCTCAGAGGAGTGCAGAGAGTCAGGTGAGAATGTCTGCTGATACCAAGCTATTCTGGGTAATAAAGCAAGAGCCAGATATGAAGACTTGCGCAAGAACCTTGTAACACTAACCACTGAGAGAATGAAATTAAAGATTGAAGTCTATGCTGAAAAAATGTAGTGTGATGCATAAGGAGATAAAACTGCATAGAGAATCATGCTTAAGAAAGAACAATCATCAAGAAAAACATCTCAAGGAAAAAATACCTTGAAGTTACAACATAGAAACCCTTGAAAACATCAAACTCAATGCTCAGTAATCATACAGCAATCTGTCTTCAGAAAAGGAAATAAGAAGTGGAACCATCTGCACATTTTGCCCCCCTCATTTCAGAAAAGGGTACAATAGTACTAAGAGAAGATACAGAAAGGACCAAACAAGGACAATCCAAGTTGTGGAATAACTAAGACTCAGCTAGAAAAGTACCAGAGGAAGGGAAAGAGGAATAATAGCCATCCGTCAATTCCTGGGAGAAACACGGAAATTCTTACACTTTTTGTAAGATGTAAGAATCAGGGAACAATAAATGATCATGTTCAAAAGTAATAGAATTGACATTTCAGAGAGCAGTTTATTTTAGCACTCTGGAGGAATCCACCATATTCTGTGCCAAGCACAGCATACATTCAAGAAATCCTTAGACAAATTCATGGAGGCAATATTAACAAGGACTACAAAGCAAAAGATACCGCCTCCAACTCCAACGTCTCCGAGCTGAAGACTGTTTTCATGACCGCAGTACATGTGTTTGCTCTCTTCCTACATTCTTCCCTAAAGATTCACTCTTGGGCAACCGTCAAAGCCAGAGTACTGGTTACATGGACCTCTGACGTGACCTAAAACAGTTGTACTCGTGCTAGGGACTCTAGGAAAGAAGGTCTGTAATATTGTTTATACTTTACACACCAAAAAAGCTTGGAGATTGGCCCAACTATAAGAAAAACATAAAAGTGAAGCTACCTCTTTCTGAGTATGACAGCTATCAAACCCATGAAACATGATTTAACAAGAAATGTGGCTTCATTACTTTCAGTGTTCAAAGATATTTGTTATGACTACATTTTTATTATCCGGCTTTCAGAAGTTAAAAGGTCTAAGATGAACTTTAGATGAGACAAACCTTTAAACCACCTTCATAAGCCTAATATTTAAGCAATGGATACCACAGGGAGAATGGACTATTAACATCATTTCAGCACACTCCTTAAATCATTATTTTTCTTTCAAAAAGTAAAAGTTTCTCTTTTTGAGGCAAGACAAAACAGCCATAACTGATGGTATTGGATTTTTAACTGGAAAGACTTCCAGTCAGAGAATGATTTAAAATTAAGGTCCATAAGAAGAGATACATAACACCGTCAATCACTTGAGAATGATGCCTCAAGTGATGTCTCAACATTTATATTTTTCTTCTTAACTGCCAATTTATAATCAAACACAGCAAGTGTGTAATAATACCCTTTAAAGATAACGTCTGCAGAAATTATTGTGCTGGGTTTTTGAAAAAATCTGAAAGCTTCTCAAAAATTATCAGGATGACTAATTATCAGTCATCAGGATCATGCAGTTGTTACATTGTACTTTATTTTGGAAAAACTAAAAAACTAAGAAAGTTTGAAACTCCTCACCAGGTTCTTCAGCAGCGTTGATAATTCTTTAGTTAGCGTGGAAAATTTTACAAAAGCTGTGCCAAGATCTGGATTATCCCGACTTAAAAAATTACTTCCAAATTTATCTAGTACTTGTGCATAGTTTTCTTCATTTTGAACATGATCTGCAAAGAAAAATTAACAGTCAGAAAGTTTTTCTTGTCGACAGTCAATTATTTTAAGTTTACATATTGCAATATAGTGACAAACCAACTAACAAACAGTACTTTCAAAAAAGCCAGAAGTTAATGCATTTACCAAAAAATTACAATTACTTTAGTATTAAATAAAACTATTTAGCAATAGACATATATATGCAACTTGAATTTGTAATACATCAATGAAAAATGCTCTGCAGTTATTAATAAAGTAATAAGATCAATAAAAGGTCAATCAATATAAGTACATGTGCTCATTTTGTAAACAACATAGGAATTTATAATTGCCTACTGTAATGCAATCCTTTTTATTGCCATGTAGGACATTTTTACAGAACAAAAAAAGTCAGTATTATCAGATATAAAACTAATGAGACCAAGTCTGAATCTGATTGCAAGTTTTAAAAAAGAAACATGTCTTAACAGACAAAGATTCCTTTTTCACTCACTTTGTAAAACTGAGTTACCCCACAGACTGGGATGTATATTCGTATACAGCCAAAGACTTGCTTCAATATATTTAATGGCAAACTGGACACACAGAGGTCAGAACCAAGAAAATGAAAGTGAAGCCAGTGAAAGTGAGCAAAATGCTTAATTCAGAATTTCCTTCATCTTTGCATTACAGATCATTGTGCTCAAAATGTTTTTCCTGCTTCTGTTACTTTCCTTTCTGGTACTTGTTTGCATATTTTTTGTTACTTTCATTTTGGTATCTTTAAATAGAAAATTTGTCATTACAGACCTTTGGGACACACTTTATCACCTCCATCTCTCTTAGAGGAATATTGTTGGTATTAATTAAATCAACATGTCACATTAATGAGTTCTTAGTCTTACTATGTTTTCTTCTGTAAGCCACAAACACAAAACCACAGAGCTATTCCAACTAGAACAGTGTTCTGAACAATGAAAGGGGAGGTGGGGAAAGAGAGAATAGTTGCCTATAGGTACCATGTTTTTCCCGAAAAAACTTACAAGTTTTATATTCTTCAAGTTGCCAGATTGCCTGAGAGCATTTGAATTACAGAGGGGGAGGCAGGAGGAAGGAGGGGGGGGGGGGACGACACCCAAAAAAACCAACAGACATATGTTTCAAACAAAGCTCGTGGAAAATGTCCCACAATGCATGAATCTACTTTGACATTAACTAAGAGCTGATGAAGAGTTAAACAATAATACTTCTAAGGTATTACAGGTACTCAAAACAACAGCGCACTAAAGCTCCAACAAAAAAGAGTGAAGACCTATCAGAAGACAAAAAAAACCCCAACACCCAAAAAACCACAAACAAACAAAAAACCCACCACCCCATACCAAAATGTTTATTTACCAAAAACAAACACCAAACCCCACACATCAGACAAGCTACGTTCTAAAATCAGACATTGACACTGAGGTTTTCAAAAGGACAAATATTTCATCATATGTTAATACGGAGTTGTAATTCAAACAGTACGTTTTTAATAAAACTGTTACAAAAGCATACGGTTTTAATCAAGTAGTTTAGCATTAAAACCAAGGAAACCACTATATAATAATAAAATATGCATTTTGTTTTGATGTAAAAGCTGTTGCATAAATATACACAGAAGACTTTATCTAAGAAAGAGTTTTGGCTTATACAGCCCTGAGCTAATAAAGCTTAAATGTACCCAACTGTGCTGAAGGAAACGGAAGGATAATGGAACAAGGTTGGAAAGAAATCTGCTAGATCATGGAACCCCTGTCCTTGCCTGTGAAGCACTTCTAACCCCACGATATTTCCCAGCATTTTGATTCTAAGAGCTGTATTGTTTCATAGAGCATTTTCAAAAGTAATTTTGTAAAGAAACTGAAAAAGAGCTGAAGACGACCATTTCCTTTATCTGTGGAAAGGCAAAAGAAATTCCCAGTCAGAAAGGGGAAGCAGGAAGCAGATCATTGTTGTAGAACAATATGCAGGAAATTCTCAAGAATCACAGATTGCAAATCACCTCAAACTAAAAATGAGGCCTTGATTATGATGTAAAAGGAATACTACTGTAATTACCACACATACAGACACAAAATTCAAGTACTGTGTAAGAATAATAAATTTTCAATTTTTACAGAAGTATCAATGTAAATCTTGTAAAAGGAGAGGAAATATTTTCTGTTGAAGAGGTAAGGCAGTTCCCTAGTTCACCCTAAAGGCACATAGATGAAAAATTGAATCTGCAATGTAGCCTATGCTAAACCGCAACATATGAAAACCAACATGCTTAGAGCAAAGAACATGCTTAACCTCTCTGTAGGTACCTCATGCAAACATAGAAATGACTTCCTAGTGCCCTAATAGAATTTCCTTTTCATAAAGAACTAAGCTATAACATGCATGATGACATTTAGTTCCTTAGATACAAGTACTGTAGGAAGGACTTTAATAACCCTAGACAGCGAAACACAAACACTGACAGCAGTACATACAAAGGATAATGTTTGCCTTCTAGAACTGGCTCACGTCTTCTCAATATCATAAACAAAGATCAGTACTGTGATAAAAACAGAACAGCTTCCCCAGACAGACATCCTCCTCCTCCAGCAGCTCCTCAAGAGATGCCAGAATCACGGACAATTGAGGATGGGCTCTGCACCCACTGACGAGGGCAGCTCCCTTCAAACGGAAGCTTGGGAAGGGAAAGGGGCTCACTAATCATCCCCGCCCCCCGCGATGGGATCTGGCAAGGCAGCCAGTACCTGAGCCTGCGCTGTGGACCTCGCTGCAGAACGGCAGATGTAGTATAAAGCAAGACACTGGACCGGATACAGCAGTGCTATTTTCTGAGCTGAAAGACACGCATCTTTTCTTCTCCACAATCCACACCTTCAACTCTGAGAAATAGCGCAGAATTTACCTTTGTTTTGAGAAAACCCTGGTAGGGCCCAATGCACAGCGGTGTTGTGGCATCCCTTACTTCTGTGTTATAATGTGTGTATTGTGGATTATATGTCAGGAGGAAATGATACAAACACATCTGAAGATGCAGATGCAAGGAACTGCAGAAGCAACGACAGCCACAGCAGCTTACAGCAGCACTCACCAGAAGCAGACAGCACACTCGCTCTGAGCACCGAGCACTGCGGAGGCTCAGGCTTAAGGACTCGCAAGGCTGAATCCCACCTTGTTCTGCTGCCCCAGGCAGTCACCTGAAGGTGTTTGTGCCTCAAGTCACCTTGTGGTAAAATTTTCCCAGGACAAAGATAGAAGACTTAAATCAGATTCCCAAGGCATATAAAGAATTTGTACTCTTTCATTGAAACTCACAACTTCATTCATTAAGTGCTATGTTTATATCCCCTTCAAAAGTTACCAGATTTTTAGCATATGCTTCTGAACCCTGTGAAATTCATGCTTACTTGTGCATATTAGCAAGGAAACGGAAGAACAAATACTGTGAAGAGAGGCTGAAGAACAGCCTTTGTATACTGGAGCTAGAATCATAGAATTGTTTAGGTCAGAAAGGACTTTTAAGATCATCGAGTCCAACCATTAAGCTAGCACTACCAAGTCCACCACTGAACTATGACCCTAAGCACCATGTCTACACGCCTTTTAAATACCTCTAGGGATGGTGACTCTACCACTTCCCTGAGCAGTCTGTTCCAATGCTTGACAACCCTTTTGGTGAAGAAATTTTTCCTAATATCCAATGTAAACTTCCCCTGATACAACTTGAGGCCATTTCCTCTTGTCCTATCACTTGTTACTGGGGAGAAGAGACCAACCCTCACCTCACTACAACCTCCTTTCAGGTAGTTGTAGGGAACGATCAGGTCTCCCCTCAGCCTCCTCTTCTCCAGGCTAAACACCCCCAGCTCCCTCAGCCGCTCCCCATCAGACTTGTGCTCCAGGCCCTTCACCACCTTCGTTGCCCTTCTCTGGACACGCTCCAGCACCTTGATGTCTTTCCTATAGTGAGGGGCCCAAAACTGAACACAGTACTCGAGGTGCAGCCTCACCAGTGCCGAGTACAAGGGGAAACATATCACTAAAATTAAAGACTTAGATTTCCTTTGTCTAAACCAGTTTTGTTCAGATATATTACCGTGCAAACACTGAAAAAAAAAGTTAAATAGTGCACAGAAGAAATACACAACTCTTTCCTGTCACTGATTATACTTAAATTACGCCCAAAGAAACCTGCAGAACATCTAAATTACTGAGAATTACTTCTGCATATCTGGTTAAGTCCAAAAAAAAAAAAAAAAAGAATCTTGATTCAGGATCCTGATCAACTTGAAACTATTTTTATGTTGCACTTATAAAACGGCTTTGTTCCATGGGTAGCCAGAGGAAAAATAACCAAGGTCAGAGCCAAGTTGCATTTATGAATGGAAAAACATACACATGAAAAAAAGACTCAGAAAGACTTTAGAAAAAGCAAGAAAGCTGGCAAGGTTAAAAAGGATGGCAAAAGAAGTTTTTTGAAGTAAGAAAGCAACTTTTCTCATTTCATCTTTCACAAAGCTGAAATCTAATGAAAAAATAATAGAAAAGAAAAAAATATTTGACCACCATATTATCATCTGGACTTGATAACAGTAATGCCTTCTGGACTGAGATTGCTGAAGGGAAATGTAATAAAAGCCTCTTTCAAAGATTTCCAGGGCAAGGAGCATCTCAGAAGGTCTGTAATGTTCTCTAGATCATCACGGTGTAAGAGTACTGAGAGATTAGCCAGCCCAGAAAGGTAACTGACTTCTTTTTGCATCCATTTTCATCGCTGATGTGCTTGAAGTTCTCATGGAAGAATTTTCTTTCAACTCTGCTTCACAGGATTTATACCAAGACCAAGAGCTAACAGTAGAATTCAGCTGACAAAAAGAGCAATGGCAAGTCACTTAGACCCACATACAGAAGAATAAAATAGGCAAACTATACAGTTGCAAAGTAAAGCCTCTTGCTTGTAACAGCCTCAATACTACAGGAAGAACGAGAGGCAAATATAATAGCTATTTTTAATAAGAGCTCCCGAGAGAACTGAGAATTCAAGTATGCACCAGCAAAGCAGTAATGCTGATATACTCCTCCTGCAATTCATAGAAACTACAGTGCAGAACAGAATTGGTGGACATGTGGATAAATACAAAATGCTGAACAACAAACATAAGTTTTACAAAGAGAGATTTTTACATCAAAAAACTGCCCCCTCCAAGGGATCAACAAGCATACGGGGAGAGGAACTCCTTATTAAATGATCTGTTTGCATTTCTGAGAAGGTCTGCCCCACACCAAAACACTAAAAGGAACTAAGCAAACTAAGTGCGATTAGCCTCACACAAAGGAAAACAGGTCAAAAAGATGTGGTGGGGAAAGGAGAGAATAAAGAGTTAATTTTCCCAACAGAGCGAGGTCACCAGTGAAGTCCTGTATAAAACAGTGGTAAGGCCCACATCATTTAACAACATATAAATGAGTTGGGAAATAAGATTCATAGTGATAAACTAGATGATCTTTAAGGTTCCTTCCAACCCAAACCATTCTATGATTCTATGAAATTCCTTAGACAAAATGAATTGTAAAAGTCCATTAAGAAGTATCAAGCATCACAGTATCAGTCTTGACTCAGGTAATTCCTGGCCTTCACACCATTGTGAACCAAGAAAGTGTTAAAACAAACAAAACAAAACAAAACAATCACTCCATCTTTGCACCAGTTTTCTACTTCAAGCATCTGCTGTTGATTATTGCGTGAGAACACATGGACTGCTGGTTTGGCTCAGCACCTTTGGTCTTGCATGGATTTTATGTTTTTATTTTCTCTATTGTCTAAATTCTTTTAACTATATTTGGGAGTCATACCAGGGAACTAATGAAAAAGAGCTATTGAAAAATCTACAACAAAACTAATTGTGCAATCTACTTCTGTTACAATTCAATCCAAATGTTATGGAAAAGCTAGTCAGAACAGATTCTCCATTAAGTTCAAGCACCACTGACATAAGACGGCTTCCTAGTTACAGATGCAATCTATCATGCCAGAAATAAACAGCAAGCCAGATAACGAGGAAGTGGTGAGAGAGGCATCAATTTGTATGTCTCACTGGATTTCATTAACAGAACTTTCCCAAACAGTACTTTCAGACAGGGAAAAAGAGATGGGACCTTTCTAAGGGATTTCCACATTTCTGTGCTGGTATGTTTTCATTTCCACAGCAGTAGATCTAAATCTAAATACGACAAATGGGTGAGGGATGTGCACAAAAAGCAGTTGTGTGACATTTAAGCTCTCTTTGTAACAGAAGGGAGTCCCTTGCGGTTCATAACTCAGCAATGAAGAGGAACAAACCATCACACCAGAGGGCTAGGGCTTTCTGAAGAATTCTGTATGAGACATTGCATTGTGTGAGTGTCACTGTTCAAATGTTACTTCAGGCAAAAAACAAAACCACAAAAAAAATAATCCCCAATACAATCCAAAAAATCCTAGCTATGACTTTTGGTAGCGTATGAACTGGATTAGTGAACTGAAAAGAAAGGAATTTCTATTGTCCCTGAATAACCATTTCTCACTGGCCCAGCTAGAGTTCTCAAAGGAGATTATGAAGCACAGGATTTAAAAAAAAAAAAAATTCCTACTCTAGTAGTTTAAATATGGTCTCACCTTCTAGCAAACAATTAAATTTGTAAAACTAAATTCCAATTTTGAGTTCTCAAAATGTAGTTAGAGGCTTTCTTTTGAAACATGAAAATAGTCACTTAATTCTTGCTTGAACTGATAAATGACAATGCATTTTACAGCTGTTTTTAGTATGTTTTATGTGAAGTTCAACATCAACAAAATCCACTTTTATCACTGAAGTATAAGAAAATAGCTGGCTTAGCAATTCTCTTCGTACAAGCAGGCAAAAGAAGTTTGAATTTAAATTCAGTCACTTTATTTTTATACTTATTTTTACAATGCTTCACATGTATAACACATGCTTTTAGTCTTGTTCTCACTAACCCTAGTTTATGTTTATGAACTACTGCATGAATTGCCTCCTGTGCGCACCTTTTCAAATTATAATGTAGCCTATCACGACAGCATTCTGAAGAGTGAGCTAGAGTATTATGTATAGTGCTTTCTTTATCCAAAAGAATTCATACTAACTTGTACCTTTGAAATAAGACTTGTTCAAAAAAAGAAAAGGAAAAAAAAAAGGGGGGGGGGGGGATAGAAAAACAGCTACCTAACTATCTTTCGTCCTTTTTAAGTGCAGAGGCAGCCAAGTAAAACCATTAATGAAACTTCTATTGCTTTTACTCAATGCAATTAATTAATAATATAGTATGGCCTACTTACAAGCACTGAAAACGATACTACTTTCACTACAAGACTCAAATCAAATGATAGCTAAAATCTCTAGTGTCATTTATATATTTCAAAACCAGCAGAACACTTTTCATGTGTTCTACAATTTTCATCAGTTTTGAAATTCTGTAAGTAGGTACTTTCAAATGGAAAAGCTGCTTGGAACATCTGAATACTTCTCAAAGCACAAACCTAAATGCACATGTACCAAATACTCTTCTCACTTTGTATCAGGCTTCACAGTCTACTGGGAGAACTTTCATCACCAACTGAGGTTACAGAAAAGCTAATTAAAACAGGGTGCTAGTAGAACAACAATATTATTGATTGTCAGAAGAGAAAAGTTAAGAATCTACAATACATTAAAAAACCCACACACTTCCATAAACAGGAGTTAATGGGACAGCACACACAAAATAACAGAAACAAAAACCACTCAGAAGCGGCTCTGCGTAAGGAAAATATTTGCTAAACTGATTATTATTATTGCTAAAGAATAGGAACTGGGGTTTTCTAAAATACAGTATTTACAGTCAAATGGTTATTAGTTATTGCCTTTGGCACAGTTTTTAGACCTTAAGAGAAACAGAAGTATAAGCCAGGTATACTTTATGACATTTTTAAAACCTAATTTGTATGTTGATTTGTGTTTCATTTGTCATTTGTTAATTATTATTCATTAGTGAACTCAAACTGATTACCAATTCATATTCCAGTCACCTATCCTCTTATCAAAGTTATTACTACAGCTCCAAAAAATTTCAACAGTGTCTTCAAACAAGCAAAGTAATGATAAATCTCCACTATTTTAGGTAAGAAGGGAAAGACATCATTTTTACTGTACACATTATGAGGTGAGAGCACGTGTTGAAGCAACAAAACACATCTACCTGTAGATATTTCTTTTTATTTATTTTTTAAACTTTTTAACAAGTTCTCATTCTTACTTCACTTAGAAGTGCACTCTATAAATTCAGTCTAGGACACCGTCTTGTCACTGTTCTAGCTGAAGGTAACTGCTTGAAATGTTATGACAGCAGGAAAATTTACCCAGGGGAATTGTCCTACAGACCTTTGAAAAGGAATATGAGGGTGAAAGAATTGGAGAGCACATTAATCTGTATAATCAGAAACAAAGCAAGCAAATTTAAGTCCAAACACTCCTAAACAGATAAGCATGTCTTATGCCATACACTTTACCAGGATAAATTGCAAGACACTTCTCAAACTTGAAATCAAATGCTTAAGTTCTCACGTAAAACTGAAAACAAAGTCATACCTTGCCCCGAATTATATATTGCTTTCACAGATTTTTTCACCTTCTGTAGTGCAGTTCTGTCTTGATCCAATGCCTACAATAACAAGAAATAAACAAACTTTAAATATTTACTTCCTTGATCAACAGACTATAACATTTAAAAAGAAACCCACAAAATAAGCAGTTTCACAGGCTGGAAAAAAATGCAGATACAACATATTCAGCCTGCAGGAAGGTCCAAGGTCATTCAACCCCTTCAAGATGAACTAAAGAACTGCAATGAAAACGCTCTGAAGGCAGAGTAGAGCAGTAGTGACAGTGCTGAAAGAAAAACACTTTTAGTTTTGCAAGGGACAAAGCATTTATTCAAATTGTAATATATTTTGAAAAAAACCCCAAGAAACAGTTAGTAGATGCTTCTACTATAGCCCTGTAGTTTCTACTACAATTAAATTGCTTGTTAACTTCCATGGTTTTCCCATAGCAACAGGCTTCCAACTACAGACACAGATTATCACACTAACCTCTTACCCCAAACTCCGCAACAGAATTTTATAAATACAGAAGATGAAAAGTAGCAAATCAAAATAAAAACACTAAGACCTCATTTTGTGCTACATAACGTGACTGAAAGGAAACATTTATAATAATACTCAAATATGCATTTTCAGGATTCTGTCATTCCAAATTTCAAATTTTCTGCAACAAACTCCAGAAGAAAATGTTATTAACTAATGATGAATTTAGGAGTAGATTTCTAGGTACTTTCTTTTTTAAGCAACATAACTCTGAATCTGATGTAAGAAATCAAATTAACATGAGAAAGAACTATTATGACAAAGCAAAAAATAAAAGTAAACATTAGTCTAGACTTGTGGAACTAAGAAACTTAAAAGCCACATACTGGTACTGTGCACAGTGATCCAATTAATTTCACTAAGCATGAGTTTTGGATATTCTGCACACTTAACACGTTGTACACAGTTCCCTGCTATCCATGGAGAACATCCACAGAAATGTTTAAATGATTTCCTATATTTTATTTTCTCATTTACATCATAGGCAATTTCCCATCACGTAAGTAACGTTAGCTCAATATCTCAAGTTTTAATGAAGCTGGCATCGTTTAAATCGCTGAAGATTGTAGAACTTGTACTCAGCATTACTGTCAGGATAGCAGCCCAACTGAGCCCGTTAGCTATTGCAGACCATAAAGTTCAAGTTGCAGAGATCCTTGGGTAGCCATCTTATCCAAATGGCTTAAAGCCTGGAGCTCCTGTGGGTCCGATATCTGAAGACTGGCTGACTAAGGTAGGATGGCAGCTACTCCTACGGCAGGGCGTACCTCATGACAGAGGGTCATCACCAGCAACACTATGTGTGAAAACTTAACCAGTAAGCAGAGCTTTCACTGCCAAAGTTGAGACGATTAAAGCGTATTGCACCAGGCGTTAAGAAGCTCTAAAAAACCACAGCAGGATCTCCAGGTCAACTAGAGTGTTAAGCACTGAAATGGTCATACATGAGGGTACCGCTCCTAGGTAAGTTCAAAACACAGAGTGTTTTGGTGTATGCACTCTTACAGCAGGAACCCATACCAATTAATATAACATATACTAGTTCTATTTTGGAGTGGGCAAATTTCAACCAAGCAAAATGTTATAGTGGAACACTACATGAAAGTCTGTAACAAAAGAAAATGTAGTGTTTCTGTTCTTTAACTGAAAATCACTGTATTCTCAAATCACACAGCCACTTCTGTGGTAGCTAAAACTAGAAAGTTTCAAACCACAGAATTTATCTAAGTGTTTTCTAATACTATCTATCCCTAGTTTTTAATTTGCAGCAGAACAATGGATTCAAACATTCAGAACTTTGCTCCCCAGTAAAACGGTGGATTTTACTTGACTTTCATCTTGCCAGAAAGAGTTACAATTTTTAAATTTAATACAGTATCAGGAACTCTGTGTCCCTTTTCAAGACAGGCACAGCAAGTGATTCTCCTTAGATTCCTTTGAAAACGCTGTCAAAAGCTTTTGCTTCTGCCTGCATGCTATGCTAGACAGTTGTTACCATACATTTCTACTGAAGTTCTCTCCATCTTCAATGACCAGAAAAAAAAAAAAAAAAATATTATTGACTTGTCTATTCAGAATTTGAATGCAGGATAGTGTAAGAATTTGAAACCAGTATTTTGGAAAAAAGACAACAGTTAATATTGATGAGATTCAGAGACAAAACTTTGTACTAAGTTCTAATATTGAAGCAAACTGGACACTCAAGAGGAGAAAACAAATACAAAAACTCCAAAAAAGATGGTATTTGTTTCTAGGACAACAGACTAGAAAAATCTTCCAAACTGAATTTGATATAGAATTAAATTTAATCACTAATGTGGGAGCAGGAGAGAAGGGAACATTTATTATTTTAAGAGAGCAATCACTTAGCAAAGCAATATACGGAGATGACATCCACTGCCTGAAGGAGCCAGTGATCTAAGTCAGAATGACATCACAGGTCAATTTTGTATTTTTATATTTGCAGAGATGATCTTTACATGAACTAGTTCTTCTTAGTCCAAAACTCTCTAAATAAAACAAATCCACGCACGCTTATAACCGTATACCAGGGCAAACTGTAAAATGCCTACCGCAGTGGGAACTCAATCCTATGTAGGGTTCTAGGTCCGCAAAAACCGTTACCCAGGTTTTTTTGGGTGGCTATGGGTGGAGATTTTTTGGTTGTTGTTTGGTTTTGTTTTGTTTGTTTTATATAACTGTAGGTAGTTTGTTTCCAAATATATTACATTCCTTTTGAATGTCTTTTGCTAACAATTTTTTGCTGCACTCTGCTGCAAAGGAATTAAGCTGCATATCTTTACTCCCATCTTAGAAAACACAAAATCTGATCTTCCAGTAAAGCAACATACATTTATATTATTGAAAACTACAAAGCCTTACAGAACCAAGGAGTCTCTGTGACGATCCCTAGGCATTCAGATGCAGTCCTTCCTATATACTAAACTCTTCCCTCATCACCACCCATTCCTGGAAAATGCTTCCTTCTCTGTTTCTGTGATACTACCTCCCAAGAGGCCTTTTTAAACTTCGCTGGGACAGTGTTTTCTTACCCTCTAATTCATTCTGAAAAGACAGATAATTTACTAAAGGTACCTGCAACACAGATTTGCTACCTCCTTGGCCAAACAAAGCTTTCTTCTTGAAAACGGTCATCTTGGAGACAAGATCCATCTTTATTCAAAATAATAGAAAATTAGTGCTCACAAAAACCCCTGAGACATATTAGTGAAGAAATGAAGGAAAAAACCCATATTTAATCTGCTTATATAAAATTAAACAAGGAAAGCTCCTTGCTCCTCATACTCAGGAGATTCGCTATGCACATGCCCTTTCAAGGTTTCATATTCCTGCATTCCCTTATACTGAAGCTTATGCTCAGGAAGGAAACTCCTGATCATGCAAGATCAGCTCTAAGTAATCAGTTTGGAATCCTCCAGACAGTCATCCAAGATTTAATTTCTCCTTTTAGCTAAAATTTACCTCCTTTGAACCTAGCCTGCAACTTCAAACCACCAACCTAGTTCAAATCCGTACTACTGAAGAAAGCAGAGTCTCTCCTTCCTCATACCAGAGCGCTCATGTTGGCTATGCTGTGATCCAGTTCACGGGCTGCTGTGGTGACCTCAGCTCCATGAAAACCAGGCTCTCCCGTTCAGCACTACAGATTTAGCTCACCTTCCATCACTGCATTGCACACTGATACAAATTTGTACTTAGAGCTGCCATTTCACATTCAGAGGTAAGACTTCTTGCAGCACCCTGCCTCTTAACATGTACATTTACTGGTAACTATTCATACCAATGTAAAAATTGGAAAACTTGTCCACTTGAGGAAACGAAATCAAATTAATTTTGGGGTGAAGGGAAGGCGAGTCCTCCCAATGAATCATTTCACTGATGTAGACCACTGGGTGGCTGCATATACACTTTCACCAGCATGACAGAGTGCACAGGTCAGTACCAGATCAGAAAAGGTGTACGTTGACATCCCATAACCCATACCGCAGCCCTCTCTGGTAGTCGAAGCAGAGCCGTGCACTGCTGTTCACACAGACAGATGCTGCTTTTGCCTCTCGTCAACCCTCTAGAACCTGATCTCTTCTCAGTAAAGGGTATTTCTATTTTCGGGCCATGCTCTGTTTTAATAGCTACTAAATTTTAAACCAGAAGTTATACTACTGTACAGTGTGTAAAGTGCTAGAATCTGGATTGCTATCTATCTTTGATGTACTAAAAATTGCCAAACTCACATTTAGATAGACCACTAATTGTTTCTTTAGAACCTTGCGTCTTTTTTTTTCTGCATAGATACATAGGTATTTGTGTGCATGCACGTGTGTAGGTACATGTATATATTTGCACGCATGTGTGTGTATGTAAGAGTCTATATACTGGAGATCATACTTAAGAATATTTGATGTACTTATTCCTAATAAACATGAAAACCATGGTTTGAGCAACACAAAAAAATCTTCCTTTCTTGACTGATGTAAAACTACTATTACAGAAACTGATCACAAAGTGTTTCGTATAGATATTAAATTTAGCTCTTCTAGAAATCAGCATCATCTTACAGGCACACATTTGCACAGAGGAGGCTACGGCCCCTTCAGCCCACTAGAGCTACTAAAACATCAAACGTGTTTTGTGTAGCTTGCAAATCTTTACAATTTGAAGAGGAAAAAAAATCTCCACTGATTTTTGTTTCAGCCTTACCATAATAAAAAGACAAGAGTGGCTCAAGACACTGACAATCACATTAATATGTCAGCATACATTATTAATCCCTTCAAGTAGATGATTTTCCAGAGGAGATGCATTTTCCAACTGGAACAAACTGTTCATCCTCATATCAGAGGAAGTTTAGAATTTGACTCAATTTGTTGGAGGTTTGCACTGGAAAATTCTATATCCTACCACTACCAAAACACAGCCACAAAAATAATATACCAAAACAGAGGTGTTTTAAACAATTACAATATTTTGCACAAGATAAACCCATGACAGTAGCTTG